AGTTTAAATATGACACATTATTAATAGCTTATTATATAAATTATTAGTAATGCATTATTTTAGGTAGTATATTATAATATTCATATCTTCTTATAAAAGTAAAAAATGAAAAAAGTAAAATAACTAAAAAGTAAAATAATATATATAAAAGTAAAATAATAAAAAAGTAAAATAACAAAAAATGAAATAATATATATAAAAATAAAAAATTAAAAAGTGAAATAATAAAAAAATAAAATAATATATAAAATTAAATAATAGAAAAGTAAAATAACTAAGGTAAAATAACAAAGAAATAAAATAAGATAAGAAAATTTTATTATTATATGAATATTTTTGAAATTTTTATATTTTTTAATTATTCTTGAAATTTGCAATTTTTATATTACTTTAAGATTATATTATATTTATATTTAATAGTTTTATAAATATTACTTTTATTATAATACTATTATTACTTTAATTGAGATTCAATTACTTGTTTTACTAATATCATATTTTTATTTTTACTATAATCAAATTACTAATTTAAATAGAATTATATTACTAGTTTAGCTCAGATTATTTTGCTAACTTTGTTATAATTATATTGTTTATTCTATTATTTAATATTAATAAATAAGATTTCTTTTAGTTAGTGTTCAATAAAATTATTTAATAGTATTATGATATGAATTATACAATAAGATATAAGATAGTTAATATAATAAAAGTTCATATTTTAATAATACTATAATAATACTTTTAATAATTAATAAATTTATTCCTTTAATATGAACTATTTGAATAAAATCTAATAATTAAACATAATATAATAAATTGCAAAATCTAACTTTTCATATATTTTATATAATATTTAAGAATTTTCTGAATATAAAAAATAATATAAATACTAATTATTTATATTTTTTATAGATTAATATATAAAGCTTAAGAATAAAAATTAATTTTTTAGAATTAATTAATTTAGAATTAATTAATATTAAAAATTAATTAATATTGAGGATTAATTAAAATGATTAAATTTGAGAATTGCTTAAAATTTAATATTTAATAACAATAATAATAATATATAAATTATATAAATCATGATTTTACTTGCAAAAATATATAATTTTATAAATTATAATCAAAATTTTTGGAATATTAATATAATATAAGTTAAATTGATATATAATACTACTATTGATTATGCTCTGTTATTTAACCAAAATCTCAATATTAATAATAGCAATATAAAATTTAATAACTTTAATAATAATATTAATATCAAAATTAACTAAAATTTGAATAATATTTATGAAATAATAGAAATAAATATAATAAAATAAATACAAAATAACAATATTTAAATATTTTAATTATTTTTAATATTTTTATAAATTTAACTAATCAAAATATAATTTTAATTAATTAAAGTACAAATTTAATTATTTTAATAAAAAAGAAAAAAATTAATATGCAATAAAAAAATCAAAGATTAATTATATTCAGTATTTAAAATCTGATATTTTTATATTTTTATAAGAACAAGAATTCAGAATTGTATACGTTGAGTTAAAAAATAATGTTTTTTATTTGTGCACATCAAAATAAAATCGAATATATTACTATTTTTATTTATATATATAAAAAATAATAAGATATCTTTTCCTTCTGATCTTTAACTGTCTTCAGAATAAAATTTATTTCTTTTTACTATTATTATAACAAAAATATCAAGTTAGAAAGAAGACTAAAGCAAAATTTTTGTGTATTATAATATTAATTCTTTATGTAAATAATATCAAGTTGATTTATTCTATTAAATAACTATTTAATTAATATAATTTATGTATAATTAAGTTTTTCATATCTAAAAATAAATATTTAGATAGAAATAATATGATAAAAATTAATTTAAAATTCAAAATTAATTCTTGAATACAAAGTAAGTATAATAATAATAACAATAATCTTTTGTTTTTCATTACATATTAATTTTTTTATTTTTATTAAAATAGTTAAAGTTATACTTTAATTAATTAAATTATAATTTAATTAGTTAAAATTATAATTTTGATTAGTTAAATTTATAAAGATACTATATAATATAGATAGTAATTTAAACTAAAGTATTTAGCAAAAATAATTTGCAAAAAATTTTAAATTAGAATTTAGAATATTTAAAATACTTTAAGACTTATTATTATATAATAATTCAAAATATTTAGAATTTTAAAAAATATTTTAGTTTGAATTATTAAATATAGAATTAATTGAAGTATTATTATTATATTAAGAATCTGATTAATATTAGTTATTTTTGGTATTAGTATTATTATTATAATTATTAAGCTTTATATTGGTAATAATTTTTTGATTATTATAAATATTAACATTATTATTGAATAATAAAGTTCATAGTTTGTTATATGTTATAGTATTTGTATGTTTTTATAAGTAAAAATTATAAATTTTCAATTATTTATATTATATATATAATTTATATATTATTATTATTAATCAATTTTGTCTTTAAAATTAACTTTCAAATATTAATTAATTTTATAAAATTAATTGATTTTAAATTAATTAATTTTAAAGAATTGATTTCTATTTTTATCTCTATTTGATGCTTATAAATATTGGTATAATTCAATTTTTTATTAAATTTGTAAAATAATTTTATAGAGAACTTTAAAAAATTTTTGAGAATACTGATTCAAACTACTAAATTCTCTTGAGAACATACTTTTATTTTAAAATTTCAAATACTAATTATATAATTACAATTTTTATTATTTTTGCTGTTATTATTATAATTTGTGCTTGAGAATTAATTTTTGGTTGAGGTTCAATTTTTATTACTATACTAAATTCTTTTATAACTTATATGTAAATATTTAACAATTTCTATTATATAAGTTTTATTTGAATATTTATTTTTAGATATGGAAAACTTAATTATATATAAATGAAATTAATAAAATAACTATTTGATAAAAAAATTATATTTATTAAAAGAAGCTGAAATTTTGTAATATTAATAAATAAAAAATTTCTGAATAGGTAATTCAATCTTTAGTAATAAAAATTAATATAATCTACTCGAGAATCAATTTTGGATTGAGAATCAATTCTCAAATTGAAAATTGATTAATTAAATTTATTTAAAATAATTAATCACACCTCTAATTCAATTCAAATAAAAATAATACTGTTCAATTCATTTTGACTAGATAAATCAAATGGTAATATATTTATTTGAATCAGATTACTGAATGTTGCGATATTATATCCTAAAGTGGATAGTTTATTTTGTTAATGATCAAAATTTTTAAATTGCAAATCTGTAAAGAACTTTGGACCTGGAAAATTTGTAAATATCTTGGAATCCAGTGGATCAATTCAAATATTTTTGAAATTATTGAATTTATTTAGTCAAGAGAAATCAAATAGTATCAAAATTATTCAAATCGATTCACAGAACTCTGAGATATTTCATCTGAAAGTCATACAAAATTTTTCTTTGCAATTTTGCACAAACTCATATATTATATTTTACAAATATCTCGAGATTCAGTAATTGAATTCAAATAATTCTGATATTATTTGATTTCTTTTGACTAGACAAATTCAATTATATTAAAGATAACCAAATTGTTCACTGAATTCTGACATCACGGTATGATCTTCTAAAGTACAGATTTAATAATTTTTTAACGATCTTAGCAATGATAATCAATTAAATTGCAAGATTAACATGTAATATGAAAATTCAAATATAAACATATTTTGAAACTATCTTTTACAAGAAACATTTTTTGTTAAATATAAAAGTTACTATAAATATATTTTTTCTTTGCCAAATAATCTTAAATTAAATTCAGATTTAATAGTACTCATTAGAACAATGCAACAAACTGTCCTATATTAATATTTAATAATAAATAACGATAAATGGTGAGTGTATACACTCAATGTTTTGATCGTTATCTTTGTTGCTATGGTAAGTTTCAATAGCAATAATGTCGATATACCGATACGTAATTTATGACTGCAGGTGGTACAAACCGATAAAAATACGTAATTTTTTAATCAGCTCCGACAAAACAAAACAAAAAATGTAAAAAATACGGGAAACAGATGTCGAAATCTAGCTTGGTACACTAATAAAAAATGTCAGGAAGACAATTTGTATATAACTTTGATCACAGCTCTAACCCTAACCCTAACCTTTAAATTAACCTTAACAATAGTTTCTATTACCTTAGAATTTTTCCAGGACATACAATATTTATCGATATAGCGTAATACTAATACAGTCAAACCCCCCTAAGTGCAACCTCTCTAAGTGCAATTATTCTCTAAATGCACGTTCTAATTTGGTCCCAACTTATGAAACATATATGTAGTTTTACCTTCATAAATGCAATACCTCTCTAAGTGCAAGTTTTTGTATGGTCCCGACAGGTTGCACTTAGGAGGTCTGACTGTATGTAAAAAACGCACGAAACTTTCCACAATGTTTTCTATAATTACCCAGGATGCATACTTTACAAATAGCATCAAAACATTGAGTCTATGCACTCTTTACACAAGTAGGGGCATTTTATATTAACGTATTTTAATGCGTGTATGCGTATAATTTGTTGCATTATTCTAATACTCAGTCGTTTCATCGTAGGACATACGTATGTGGTCGATCCTAACCATTTAATCGCATAAAGCATTACGTAACAAAGCAATTTTTGAGTGCTTGTTCTAGATTTTTTTTTGTTTGAATCAAAATTAATTTTTATTTCTAACGCATGTACCGCCACATGTATACGTTTCAAAGTGTAAACCAATAAATTTTAAAATTTTTTAATTTTCGACAAATTCCAGAACAATTAGTAAACATTCTATAAATATATCCATAATTGTTACTTCGCTAGGTGTGACGATAATGTTTCAACAGAATTTTATAAATAGAATTCTATTTTTAAGCATTTTTTCTATTTCTTGATAATGAAAAAATGCTTGAAAATAGAGGTTTAGAGATCGAAGATTCTATCAGCGAAGAAAGTGGTGATGAATTAGATCCGGTTATACTTCAACCAGAATTTCTCCCCGAAACACGAATTATTCATAAAAAATGCTTCGATTGTAGAAAATTTATGACTAATTTTGCGTGGTGCCAACCTTGTGAAACTACTTGGTTTAAGGAAAACTATTCAAGATGGACAACTGGCAGTTTGCAACTTGATTTAATTATACGAAAAAGCCAAGCTGAGGCAAATATAGGCGGTGACTATCTTGAATATATTCCTTATGATCAATTTGAACTGGTTGAATTTCACAAAGCAGGAGCATTTAGTGAAATCTATTCTGCTATTTGGTTAGAGGGACCTAAGTGGGATTGGAATGAAAACACGCAAGCTTGGTCACGGGGTGGACCAATAAAAGTAGCATTGAAAAAACTTGAAAATTCTCAAAACTTGAGCAAAGAATTCTTGGAAAACGTAAATTATTATTTCTCATATGATAAAAACATATTTTTAATTTAAGAATTATTACCAAAATTTTTTCTTTTATATTAATCTAGTTACGAAAATATCATCATTGTCTTCAATCAGGCAGTGTAGCTGATACCTTTGGTATTTCAAAAGATACAGATGGATGTTTTATATTTGTAATGAGATTCTATGAAAATGGCGATTTAAATCAATACATTGAAAATGTTAAAGATATTAGCTGGAATGATAAAATTGATTTATTATGGGGGATTAGTGCTGGTTTGGAAAATATTCATCGATCCGATCTTTATCACGGAAATTTACATGGTGGAAATGTTATGATTGAAGATGAATCCATCTCGACTGATGGACGAATAGCTGATATAGGAATTCACGGATTAGTTAACGTCACATCTAATAAATCATATGGTGTTATTCCTTATATCGCACCAGAAATTCTTCTTGGAGAGACGCAATCAAAAGAAGCTGATATTTACAGTTTCAGTGTTATTATGTGGTCGCTTGCAGCTGGAAAAAAGCCATTTGCTGAGAGAGCACATGACATCGCATTAACAGTGGATATTTGTAATGGAGTCAGACCAAAGGAGATTGAAAATATTCCAAAATGTTTTTCTGATTTGATGAAAAGATGTTGGGCATTTAATCCAAAACAAAGGCCAACAGCAATTGAATTGAATACAACATTTAGCAATTGGATAACCGATATATGTGACAATCAAACACCAACTGGAATCAATGAAGAATTTAGTATTGCTGAAGAAAGAAGAAGTGAAAATTTTCAAATACAGAAAAACGCATCACAAGAAACTCATAAAGATGCGTTTTACACAAGTCGATTTTTTGATTTTTCAGAGCTTAGAGAGAACCTCAATATACCGATACTTCATTATAATGATGTCTGAGTTTGTTGTTATATTTCCTTCAATCAATACATATACTCAAAATTGCATACGCATTACAATAACACCACGAAAATGCAAAATTATATGCGTGATGCATTATTAGCTGTGGCTAACCACTATCGTTTCATCAGACATTCGTGTAATATTTAGTTTTTATTTATTTATTTGTTTGTTTTTTTCTGTTCTTGTTCTGTCCTATTCTCGTATTCATTTTTAGAAAACTGAAAGTATTCTTTTCTATTTTTGAGCTTGGCAAATTTCTTTCTTTTCGACTTTATTATATTATTCTGTTGTTGACCTTGGCAAATGTCTTTCTTTTCAATTTTCCATTTATTTAAATGCATTTATCATATTAGAGTATGTTTCTTCTTTGAACTTGGCAAATTTCCTCTCGAATTTTACGTTTATTTTAAGGCATTTCAATTTATTATACGTACAGTATATTGTTACTACTGTAACAATAATTTCACAAAATCATAACTTCCAAAAATAGCAGAAAAACAAAAAACCCCTAAAAAAATAACTCTCTGATCTGGAACATACATTTCGGTTCAGATCAGATTGGGTCAAATCGGACCTAAAATATTTCGAGTCGGCCTAAAATTATTATTTCTCATTCAATATTAATTGGAATTAAACAAAAATTTGTGGTATATGCACAATTACATTCTGAATAACTCTACTTAAACATCAAATACAAGTGTCTTAGTAAAAATAAAAGTTATTAACTAGAAACTATTTTACAATTTTCAGATCAAACTTGATCCAAATCTGACTTGACCTGAAATTATCAGTTTAGGTTAATCTCAAACTTGATCTGATTTGACCTGAACAGAGCTTTAAATAACTTATTAGATATTATTATTTTATCTTTTAGTTTATATTTTATATTATCTTTATTATTATTTTACTCATTATTTTATCTTTTATTTTATTATTTTATCTTTTATTTTATCTTTACTATTATTTTAGTTATTATTTTACCTTTTAGTTATTTTATTTTTATTTTATCATTTATTTTATTTTTTTATCTTATCTTTTCAATTATTTATTTTTACCTTTTAATAATTATTATATCTGAAATTGTATTTTCAAAAAATGTATAAATAGAGATGCTATTTGAGTTATAATTTAATACATTACAAATAAAAAATAATTTCTCTTAACAAAAATCTTTCAAATAATACTCATCTCTTCCACTTTTAATTGTATATATCAAAGCTTGTATATAAGTGACTTTAAATTATATTGTGCCAAACAAATTGTTATTGAAATTATTAATTTTATTAATTATTTTATTTTGAATATTTATTATTTTTAATTTTGATATTTTGGTATATCTCATTTATAAGAAGAACAAAGTGAAAGAATTTTTATTATTGTTATTACTAATTATATTGTTTTAACTCTGAAAAGCTTTATGCAAGTACAAAGAATTAGCATTTCAAACTCTCTTTATCAATTATTCTCTTATTATTTTAAATTTCTTTCTCTCCTCTTCAATTTTTACTTTTTCATATTAATATTATAATTTTGAATATTACAATTTCAGTAAAAATTGGCATAGATTTCTTTTCTTTTAATATTTTATTTATTATTTAATTCCCTTTCTCAATTCAGTTTTATAAGCTAATTTAATAATTAGTAAATAAATTTGTAACAATATACAACTTAGTTCCATCCAAAAAAATTTTAGTGGCCAAATTTGAGATATTATTTTACTATTACAGGATATAGTAATATTATAATTTATTAAAGAATTATTTGAGTTTCCAGATTATGTATTTACGTGATTTTATAACTGTGAACTGCATATCTCATTATGTTAATTTAGTTTAGTTTTTGTTTAATATACTAATTCATTTCTTACTAAAAATTGGTGTTATGATCAAAGAAAGTTTAATTAATATACTATTTTTAAATTAGCCAATTAACAATAAGCATAATTATATAAAATCTTCTAGTTCCTCAGCAGTTGGTCTGTTTTCTAGAATAGGATCCCAACATTTCGATAATAAATTTGCACTATCCGAGAACATTATTTGGTATTGTAGATCGTACTCCATTATAGATATCTAATACGAGATTTCTATCATGACTCCTCTCACCAAATGGTTGTTCGCCTGTTAAAATCTCATACATAATCATTCCAAAGCTATAAATATTTGCAGCTTTAGTGTATGGCATTCCTTTTAGTACCTCTGGACTAATATAAAGAACTCCGTAAATTTCTTGATTATATTTATTTAAATTAGCTGGACCGATCAGTTCTAAATCGGCAATACCAGGTTTCTGATCCATCATTAAAATATTTCCAGGGTGTCACGATGCACAAATCCCTTTTTGTGAATTATTCTAATTTACTGATAATATGAAATAGTTGTTTTAACTTTTCGTTCCAGTTCAATTTACTGTAGTTGGAATTAATATATCGAGTATTCATTTGCATTTGGGTTTTTTGTATTCCATAATAGTTTATTCTATAATGATTGGAAGCATCTATCGCTATGCTGCAATTTAAAGCAGTTTGAATCTATTTTTAAAAAATTAATCGTATTAGAAAATAAAAAAGCATCATTTTACACATAAAAACCATTCAATTTATAAAATCTAATGTTATTTCTTTGAATTGTGTAATGATTTCAATACAACTTCTTCTTCGTATTCCTTTTATTTTAATTTTATTTTCTTCACGATCCAACTTGTAATGAAGCGACCAGTTTCTATCCTTTGTTCCAAAACCTCTATAAATTGCTCCAAAATCTCCTTTAGAGGTTGCTTTATAATTGTTCCAAAACCTCCTTTAGTAAGATACTCAACTCCGGTAAATATTTCAAAATGGAGCCATTCAAATGGGATGC